AGTGTCAGCCAGGTCTGAATACATGACCCAGTCAGGTATTGATAGCATGTGACTGGTGCTTCCGCGGACATGATGTCACTGTCAGCCAGGTCTAAATACATGACCCAGTCAGGTATTGATAGCATGTGACTGGTGCTTCCACGGACATGATGTCAGTGTCAGCCAGGTCTAAATACATGACCCAGTCAGGTATTGATAGCATGTGACTGGTGCTTCCACGGACATGATGTCACTGTCAGCCAGGTCTAAATACATGACCCAGTCAGGTATTGATAACATGTGACTGGTGCTTCCACGGACATGATGTCACTGTCAGCCAGGTCTGAATACATCACCCAGTCAGGTATTGATAACATGTGACTGGTGCTTCCACGGACATGATGTCACTGTCAGCCAGGTCTAAATACATCACCCAGTCAGGTATTGATAGCATGTGACTGGTGCTTCCACGGACATGATGTCAGTGTCAGCCAGGTCTAAATACATCACCCAGTCAGGTATTGATAGCATGTGACTGGTGCTTCCACGGACATGATGTCACTGTCAGCCAGGTCTAAATACATCACCCAGTCAGGTATTGATAACATGTGACTGGTGCTTCCACGGACATGATGTCACTGTCAGCCAGGTCTAAATACATCACCCAGTCAGGTATTGATAACATGTGACTGGTGCTTCCACGGACGTGATGTCACTGTCAGCCAGGTCTAAATACATCACCCAGTCAGGTATTGATAGCATGTGACTGGTGCTTCCACGGACATGATGTCACTGTCAGCCAGGTCTAAATACATCACCCAGTCAGGTATTGATAACATGTGACTGGTGCTTCCACGGACATGATGTCACTGTCAGCCAGGTCTAAATACATCACCCAGTCAGGTATTGACTGATAACATGTGACTGGTGCTTCCACGGACATGATGTCACTGTCAGCCAGGTCTAAATACATCACCCAGTCAGGTATTGATAACATGTGACTGGTGCTTCCACGGACATGATGTCACTGTCAGCCAGGTCTAAATACATCACCCAGTCAGGTATTGATAACATGTGACTGGTGCTTCCACGGACGTGATGTCACTGTCAGCCAGGTCTAAATACATCACCCAGTCAGGTATTGATAGCATGTGACTGGTACTTCCACGGACGTGATGTCACTGTCAGCCAGGTCTGAATACATCACCCAGTCAGGTATTGATAGCATGTGACTGGTGCTTCCACGGACATGATGTCACTGTCAGCCAAGTCTAAATACATCACCCAGTCAGGTATTGATAACATGTGACTGGTGCTTCCACGGACATGATGTTACTGTCAGCCAGATCTAAATACATCACCCAGTCAGGTATTGATAGCTTGTGACTGGTACTTCCACGGACGTGATGTCACTGTCAGCCAGGTCTAAATACATCACCCAGTCAGGTATTGATAGCATGTGACTGGTACTTCCACGGACGTGATGTCACTGTCAGCCAGGTCTAAATACATCACCCAGTCAGGTATTGATAACATGTGACTGGTGCTTCCACGGGCGTGATGTCACTGTCAGCCAGGTCTGAATACATGACCCAGTGAGGTATTGATAGCTTGTGACTGGTGCTTCCACGGGCGTGATGTCACTGTCTGCCAGATCTGAAAATCTAACAGCTTACAATCAGTGGTACATTTACTGTAATATCTGAATCCATCACTCCAAATTATATCATACTGAAAGACAGTATTCCAATACTCTAGTACCTTAGGGGTATTGTTGTGTTTAATCAATTTATCTTAGAATGTCCTTGAACCTTTAACATTTGAGATAATATATTGGTAAACACTATTAATGTTTAATTGATTTAAGCAGAGAGTTCTGTTTCCTACAAGTTGTTTCCAGTTCACTGGAATGTTATTTAACAAATGATGATAATCTAAGAAGGTTCCTCTTATTTTGTACTTCGGTTTTAGATCTTCAAAACTGAGAAATCCATTTTCATTACAAATATCTCTGACATAATGTATACCGCAATCAAACCAATTTTTTATCAAGCATGAAGATTTAAAGAAATGATTTAACCAAAGTGGCTGAGCCAAGTTTTGGTCTAAGTCATCACTGTCAAAGTTGTGCTTTTTATCAAATTCTCTCCAAGCAGATAAAACATCTCTCCAATAAGGATTGTCATTGCCAGCTAAGCAACCAACAGCATTAGAACCAAGTAATTACAAATGACTTAAGGTATAGATGATATTAAAGCTAGAAGTTTTCCTTAAGTGACATTTCAATGATCATAATTTCAAAACATTGATGAAACATCCAATGTCAATCATTCTGAGACCTTCATCCTCATAAGTTCTACTGATATTAAACCTTTTATTCTTATCATATTTATTATTTCATATGAATCTATAGATTAATTTTTTAAGTTCATCGATGAATGTTTTTTTGTGGGTTAGGGAGTGCAGAGAAAATATGTACTAGAGTAGAAATTGCTGGAGTTTTGATAACAGTGATTTTTCCCGATTAGAGTCAAGTTTCTTCTTCGCCAACTAGCGAGTAATCTATTAATATGTTCTAGGCGTTTTCGTGTGTTAATTACCCAAAGGTCAGTGTTATATTATTCCTAAGATTTCAAAGTCGCCACTGTGCCAGTCAAGATAAAAGTCATTGGCTAAAGTTATATTACTACCTGTCATTGAGCCTATCCAGATAGATTTGATTCATGTTCATTTTGAGTCCTGACATTTGATAGAACATATTCAGTGTTTCAATTGCAACACTGAGGCTTGTTTCGGATCCATCTCGATATAGCTGTGTATCATCCGCATATTGTCCAAGTTTCTGTTCAATATCATTAAGTGTTATACCCTTTATATTAGGATTCGACCTTATCATAATATTAATATTTCAACTGCAAGAATAAATAAATAAGGTGAGACCGGATCTCCCTGTCTACACCCCCGTTCCTGATGGAAAAAGGAAGACATGTGCCCATTTTGTATCTCAGCTGCTGTATTATTACCAGTCAGGATTTGAATCCATTTGATAATATTGGGCCCAAATCCGAACGCTTTCATTACCTGTATTATAAATGTTTTGGAGATAGTGTCAAAGGCTTTTTCAAAATCTATTAGTAATAATAGGCGGGGTTTATGTAATCTTCTTGTTTCAAAGACAATATCATATAGAAGTTTTATATTTTCACTCATACATCTCCCAGGTATAAAACCTGTTTGATTCTCATGTACACTTGTATCTGTGAGCCAGATCTAAATACATCACCCAGTCAGGTACTGATAGCATGTGAGTGGAGCCTCCACGGACATGATACTACTGTCATCGTGGTCTAAGTATATCGTCACAAGTCCTCATATATTCGACTCTTTCGCAACATAGGTGGTAACTGCTTCTATCGTGGAAGTACCACTAGCGACAGCAGTTTGGAAACCGAAGGCGGTTAAACATCTATGGCTTTGCTAACTTCAGCTTAGAAACTATTACATGTATTTATTGTCTTTTATGGGCACTGGGTTAATCATCATGGATTTACTTTATGTTCCTTCATCCTGCTGAAACGTACACGGAAAGAAAAAATCCTAAACTCTCAAGAGAATATAGATTTCTGCAGTTCGAAAGCGAAGACGTCATCTGAGATCATTTCTATTGTATACTAATCACAAAAATATATCAAGTATACACGATACCTTTACATTATTATTGTGTCGTGCCAAGACAGAATAATTATAGTATTATGAAAATGGTTTGGTCCTAAGCTTCTTTAAGTGGTATATATAAAAACAGTTAGAAAGACATAAACAAAAAGACTATATCAATAAACTGTTTATAACGAACATGCGCGTATATAGGATATACAGATATTTGTTTTTGTATCATATGCTGTATGTTTTAGTATAAATGCATATCACGAACTACTGTTATAACGAACTAAGACTTATGGCCACTTTGAGTTCGTTATAACAGTTGTTTACTCTTGTTTCATATCAGGAACTAAATGCTAGTCCAGATACCATATACCGATACGGATTAAGGTCTCTGACTAGTCTTGGGGCGGTGGGTTAGCGTAGTGGTTAAAGCGTTCGCTCGTCACGCCGAAGACCCGAGTTCGATTCCCCACATGGGTACAATGTTTGAAACCCATTTCTGGTGTCCCCCGCCGTGATATTGCAGGAATATTGCTAAAAGCGATATAAAACCAAACTCACTCACTCACTCTGGCTAGTCTAGCGTTCTATGAGTCTCTTATTGCCCAATACATGGCTATAACATGAAAGACACCTTATCTAGTTCCGGCCCAATCTGGTGTAGATCAGCACACCCCTGTTACCTCAGGGCTGTAGCCTATTACCAGTCTCACCAAAATAATTCCTCCAAGGAGCTCTCCGAGTTAACCCTGCCTTGACCTCTTCCACAGCTGGGAATGGTTACCTACATCTATACCGATCTCTGCGCATACTCTGCGCAGTAAATAATCCTTCATGTCCGCAAGACCGGTTCTGGGTATATTTCCCGTTGGTCTAGATAAAAAGATGACACTTGTCAGCATCAAAGATTCTGCCTATATTTTGTTCGAATCTTGAATGTCAGATATGGCTTACCGAGGAGCTTGATGTGCTGTGACCTGTCAAATTAATTACCTTTTATATGTAGCTGGCGTCTAGTAATTGTCTAACCTGCCTGAACTAATGTTAGCTGTTAGACCTAATGGATGCAGCTGACGGATGTGACAGGCTTCCCAATGCTGCATATTGTGCGCAACACTTTAACTTCGTACTAAGCTAGACATCACGCTTTTCATAGACAGATAGATGGTGCTTTTATTCACGGGGATGGCAATAGTCGAGCTTGATCCACCGAACCAGTGATGGTTCGGCATGTGGTCTCTGGGCGAACGATCACCAATAAATTTATCAACTATTTATTGATTCATAATATTTCATTTTACATACTTTTATTCATATCTTGTAAGCAAGCACTCATGGTGATACATTCTTTGTTTCAGATCCAATATGGAAGCCAAGTAATCGTCATCAGTTACTGACGTCTGCAGCACCTGATTGACCTTTGACTCCTCTGTGCTGCCACCTGCCGGGAGAATGGCTTCTCCTGCCAAGGTGCACGATCCCTTGTACAATTTTGAGACTCATTTCCCCGAGCGTCTGTCCCGCCTGCATCTCCACCCGGACTTGTCCTCCTCCGTCCGGCGTCAGAAGCGCACAAAGCGTTCCGGGGCACGTTACAAGACGCAGCCAGTGACCTTTGATGAAATACAGGAGGTTGATGAAGAACCGTCGACTGAAGAGAAGAAGGAAGAGGGACTGAAGGGCAAGTTCCAGGCCTTCTCGAGGTCCATGGATGGACTGTTGCCTAAGTTACCGTCAGGATCGCCCAAGCAGTCGTCAGTGCGGAGACGTCCTGGTCATCCTCCCGTCATCCAGGAGAAGGATGCTGAGGTTGAATCACGTCTTCAGGAGCCTCCTAGCCCAGTGCAAGCTGTGCCAACAAAGGGAAAAGGAGCTGAGGCACGACTCACGGAAGCAAATCAAACAGAAGAGAAACTCCAGGCAACTTTGACTCCACCTGGAACACCGTCATCTCCTGAAGACGGTTCCCCAGTCGTGCCTCTTCCCTCTCCCAACACAGCGCACAGGAGACAGAAGGTAACCGCAAAGGCCAAGAAGAGACAGAAAGCGGCAGAAGCCGGTGGCGGAAAGGAAACGTAAAACTGGTCTTGGCCAAATGACGTACAGGTGTGCCTGAAGGTGAAGCTCTCCGCTATTTGTGTAATATATACCAATATACGATAAAATGTACTGGATTAATTACCAATTATTTACTGAGACATTGTTCCACGTGGTTAATGTGTTCTGCCACTTACCCGAGACGAAACTTAGCGTTGTGCAGTTTCGGAACAACCCGTCAGGATGTGACCTTCGTATATATTTCGCTTATGTCATCGCTTCGGAAACAGTTGACAAGACAGCTAGTGTTTTGGACTTGGAGTTATGTATAAGAGCACTGTATTCCCTCATCTTTGTTGGTGGCTAAAAACTGCTGACTGTCATGAGGTCTCAACACTCGTGGATTATGATATATATTTTCTCTTTGCCTACTGTTAAGCCCACCTTGGTCCTGTGTCATGCAATATGACTGTGGAATGTACGTTAGATCTGCCTAGTTGACGGAGTTATCAGTAAGTCTTGTGCCTTGTCGTCTGCCCTGTCGGCCATTTTTACAGGTAGGCGTTATCCACAGCTCGAATTAAAATGTTATCGAAAGTGAGCCATTAAAATGCTGCATTGACAGAGCGAAAAGAAAACCTATGAGTGCTTTCGTAACTCTAGCTCTAAAAGAGAAGCATGTCTTTCGTAATCCATCTCTGGCAGAGCGAAAAGAGTCTTTCGCAACTCTGGGTCCATCGGAGAAAACAAAGACTTTCGCCACTGACTTTTGTCATTGAGGGAAATATCTTTTTGCAGTTCAACAGCATATTCATCACGTCTGTGAATGAATGATACACAAAAAGTGCACAGAAGGCTCCTTTCGATTATATTTTATGATTCCGCGCCGAGTGCCTGAGGGTTTCTGACCATCCCAACGCCCAACCATGTGTGTGTTAATCCAGAGTTAGCCGAAAAGTGTAAAATGTTACTTAACATGTTTGGCTCTGTACTATAGCCAGTTTAAATAAGGGTGAATTTATTGTTTCCTGTAGGTTGAACAGCTGAAGTATGCTGCATTGTAAAGAATATGTTATGTTAGATGTTGCGCATTTGCCATCAAATGAGATTATTACTTGGTTACTCGTATTTGTAAACAATACTGGGCAAATTTATGTTTTGTCCAAAAATAAACTATTATTTCAATACAAAAAGACGCTTTGTTTTTGGTATAAGTATTTACCCAGTTAATTATAAACTTTTAGTAATCACCAACGGGAGGCCTAGATAACCGGTCAATAACACAATTGTACAATACAGCATTGGTTACACACAACGTCACAGTTCCTGAACCACATTGGTTTCCCTTCCGTCCATCCCTTTCTGGAATGCAAAATCAAGAAAATGAAACATTTCTAGATTTCCTCAGGTTCAGGAACCAGAATCTGTATCTTGCATAGACACCTGTGCAAGTTAAATGAAGATTTTGTTTGAAATCATAATCACACAGGTTAAGAGACTAAATGCTTCTATTAGTTATATCACAGTTGGTCTTTCCCTTGCTACGCTGTGGTAGGCTAGCCTAGTGGCATAAGGATCGATAATTCAGAACCGAGCTGTATTATTTACCTCCACAATATACCTTATCCCATACTCTTACTTTTCAAAGTTTGTCTGCATCATGCCTTTGATAATTACGACCGGCGTATGACTAACTGGTTTTTACACTCACAACCTCAATCACTCACGTCTCAAGAAGGCAATGCTTGTCTTAGAAACTGACTTGATGAACAAGTGGGTCACGGTTCCGTTTAACCGTAAAGCTACGACCATCGCAACCCTACAGACTTACGACAGTCGTAACGCTGCGATCGCTTTGTGAAACCGGGCCCAGGGCCCTTATTCTCGAAACGTTCGTAGCCCTAAGAATTCTTAACTTTGATCGCAGCTACTGTGATGAGAACGGTCTTAAGAAGTTCGTAAGACTACGAACGTTTCGAGAATAGCTAGCCAGATTCGGTGACTCAGGTGCTTGTGTATCACCTTATCCCGGCGTCGTGGACGTTGATCACGGTATCACCGGTTTACAGGCACCATCTGATAGACCGCTCAGTTACTGAGCAACACTCACCACCTCACCCTGATCAACTGAAACACTACCACTGCGGAAACGAGAGAGTCGCTGTCTCATCTTCACTCTGCTACTTTACCTGTCCAACTCCATTAGCCAAGAAATTACTCTTTCTGACATCTGAGCATGTGAGAGTGATGCTCACCCATTTACTTCACCTTCAGCTGTTGATTTGCTTTTACACGAATGAAACGTTTCGGTGGAACGTTGTCTGCTGAAATGTTCAAATTGACCGGGAAAAGGCTGAACATCTCGAGTTCTTATCCCCACACTGAACACATTGTTAGCAGAGCGGACAATAAAGTCAGGATTAGTCTGTCTCACAGTCCCTGAACCACATCATTTTCCCTTCGTGTAACGCTAAAGCCCCAAAAGAAGCAAGTCTAGATTTCCTCGGGTTCAGAATCTCCCTTCTCACGTTTCAATTTAAAAGGAATTACGTGTTTCTGTCACAACTATCATATATTCAGAGACCAGGCGGTTTAATCGATTCCGGAACAGAAATGAGACCAAACACCTCGATGGGGTCCTGAGTTAAAGCTGATCCCTTGCAACGAATGCTGGTTATACTGACTGACTGAGTTTGGTTTTACGCCGCTTTTAGCAATATTCCAGCAACATCACGGCGGGGGACACCAGAAATGGGTTTCACACATTGTGCCCATGTGGGGATTCGAACCCGGGTCTTCGGCGTGACGAACCAACGCTTTAACCACTAGGCTACCCCACCGCCCCTGATGGTTATAACAAGCGCCCTAATGGATCATATGGTTAGGCTTGGCGACTTGGTGTGTCATCGTACCCCAACGTCGTGGATCGGTGTTCATAACATCAACCACTGGATTGTGTGGTCGGGACTCGAGTACTTACGGGCCACCATTTTATACCTGGACGTTTGATGAGTGTGACGTCAAGCAAAAATAATAATGATGATAATAAATCACATTCAAGGTGACAGCCATGTGTGATCAGCTAGATGCTCCTTTGCTCTCTGTGGGCTGGGGCGGTGGGGTAGCCTGAAGGTTAAAGCGTTCGCTCGTCACGCCGAAGGCCCGGGTTCGATTCCCCACATGGGTACAATGTGTGAAGCTCATTTCTGGTGTCCCCCGCCGTGATATTGCTGAAATATTGCTAAAAGCGGCGTAAAACCAAACTCACTCACTCACTCTGTGGGCTGAAGACTTGGAAGAACAGCTACCATTAATCTGTCGCGACAAAGCAGCCAGTGAATCACACTCCATGATGTTGCAGGTCCTGATGCTGCTAGATTACGACATGCCATGGCAGGTCACCGACATCTCGGATAAACTCGTCACGTCACGTGGTATTTATTCGCCGTAAACACTGGTGTGTGGGCTACAAGCACACTCTTCCAATTGGTAAAAAAACCCCTAACCTTTAAGCCAAGTCAATATGCGTGAAGTAAATTGATTCAGAAAAGAATGTATTTTAATAGGAATATTCTCAGCGGCTTCGCTATATGACTAACGCACAATAATAACCGCTCCAAGTATTCCGGCATTGATTCTGAGTGAGTGAGTGAGTGAGTGAGTGATGAGTGAGTGATGAGTGAGTGAGTGAGTGAGTGCGGGTTTCAAACGTTGTGCTCTGTACCTTACGTTTGCAGCGTTTGGACGATTGCTTTAAACCTAGTAAAGTTTTAATAACACTTGTAATGCTTTGGTCAGATTTAATAATCAGGTGTGAACTTTCTTTTTCCCAGTTTACAGTATTAATAGCTCACCATCAAGAAGAGTTAAATTGAGTCACCTGTGAGTGAGTGAGTGAGTGAGTTTAGTTTTACGCCGCACTCAGCAATATTCCAGCTATGTGGCGGCGGTCTGTAAATAATCGAGGCTGGACCAGACAATCCAGTGATCAACAGCATAAGCATCGATCTGCGCAATTTGCGAACCGATGACATGTGTCAACCAAGTCAGGGAGCCTGACCACTCGATCCCGTTAGTCGCCTCTTACGACAAGAATGGATTACTGAAGGCACATTCTAACCCGGACCTTCACGGATGAGTCAAATATACATGTTTTCTCAAGTATCAAATGCAATTACAGTTTTCGTGTCAAAATATAATCGTCCGGGATAACCTCACTTTCATAGAGGAAAGCGGTAAGATGATGTGCAAGTAAAGAAGTTGTAGCCTGAGCTACATTGTAACGTGTGTGGCAGTACTAACATATCTTGCAGATAACTAATGTATTGATGAACGAGCGAACGAATGTAATCAGTTTGTGATTATTACTGTAATTATACTTTTGGAGGCATTAGCCACCTCACAATACAGTATGGTTGGAATGCCGTGTGTCGGGAAGACGGGGAAGACCCGAGTTCGATTCCCAAAATGTACAAATTCGACCCGCTCTTCTAATTAAAACATGGAACTTGTTGGTCCCTGCCTGGCGCTCGGCATTAATGGGTACAACAAGGACTGGTCGGCTCGGAGTCGGTATAATGTGTCTGAGTGGTGTATTCATGCTTCACTGCGGCATGGTATCTCAGTGAGCTAGCACTATAAAACCTAAGTCTGGGCTAGTACAAGCAGCCGCTCATACACATACACACGCATGCACGTCGTCATATGAGCGAAATAATCTCTAGCACGACGTTAAACCCAATTTCACCTCACCACTAATTACCCCGACGTGATGTTGCTGGAATATTGCTGGAACTGTGTGATTTCTTTCTTTGTTTGCTTGTTGTTTAACGCCACACTCAGCACATTCCAGTTATATGGCGGTCTGTAAATAATCTCATCTAGACCAGACAATCTGGTGATCAACATCATGAGCATCTATCTGAGGAGTTTGGTTGCAATAACATGTGTGAAACAAGTCAGCAAGCCTGGTCCCGTTAGTCGCCTCTTACAACAAGCATGGGATTCGGCTTCATGTGTAAAAGCTGCTTGAATCCGTATTAACTTGCGCGTTGTACTTTACAGCAATCATCAAATAGCAAAGTTTGTTGAGATTTTTCCCCAGGTAAGTCAGGTAACCTGTTTTCTGTGATCGTGATCCCTACATTTAAACCTTGACGCGGTTCATCTTCGGTGACTTCATGGCAATGACTATATTTCTGAGAGAGATACTCTAATACCATCCACTGCGTCTTCTTTCAACACAGTCACGTATACATGTATGTGGGCTTACACTGCCATGGCATCTAAAAAGATTTTTAATTCTTTTGACATTTCTGCTGAGCAAAGAACTTGAAAGGATAGTGTGTGTTTGTCATGTAAAGAACACTGTACCCTGGAGAAAATTGCTGTATTTCGACATTATTACAAACTGTGAAGATCTGAAAAGCCGTGAGGTTTACGCCGAAGAAGGATCTCCCGTGATAAGTGACATTACAGTGCTGTCTAAAAACTAGGTCATCCTGACCGCTGTGATGATGAAAAGACGCGTCTAATCCGATGAGATAAGCTGTTATCTCGCCATGATATGTTGACGCAACGTTGTTACAACGTTGGAAGGTAAAGACGTCACAAGTCGCCACAACTAAGGATTAATTGCGTGAAGAAACGCCATAAAATACAGACAGAACTATTAAGTTCAAGATACTCTAGTCAGTTGTTGAGGAATCTTCCGACTACCGGAAGTTGAGGAATCTGCATCTCAGCTGCACTGTAGTCTACTTAGAATTGCGAACGTAATTACCTATCCCGTAGCCTACGCCTCAACCTCCTAATTGGCATAATTAGCCAGGTATTGACCCCGTGACCTACATCTGCCGGTCTAGTTAGCCCGTGCAGGCCAAGTGCGCACTGTGCTATAAATAGACTGAAGACTGAGGCGTGCCAAAGGTCCCATGGTTTGCCGTTAGGTGCTTTCGTGCTACTTACATGAAGTGGTTTCAAGAACAAACCAAACCAGCTTTCATTATTCAGCTCGTCATATATTTGGCACAAACAAGAATTGTTTTCATGGAGTAAAGATATTCATGCTTAAAATTGAAAAACTTTGTTTCTTTATATTTCAAATTAACGTTGCGTTAATCGACACAAGAGGCAATGGTATATGTGTTTAACAAGATGTTTACACTGTTATTATCGTAAAACGATGCTAACA